AATTGGCCGAGAGCCAAAATGTTTACCTCCAGAGAAGGCAAGTGGTGGTAACACTCACAAGGCAACTGGACTCTTGGCATGCATGAATAATTTTGATTTAAAAGCTAAAAAACTTTAAAAAAATACACTCCCATTCCTGCTCTCAAGAGGCTGAATAGATATCAGGACTTTTCCTTGCTGAAAGCCTTCGGAGTGAGTTCTTTGCCAGCTATGGGAACCACACAGGTCTGGCCTCTAAGCAGGCATCAGAACCGCTCAGAAAAACTGGGGAGAGGTAGAAACCAAGATGGACAGCCACACCAGGAGTGGCTCCTGACTCCTCAGGCAGGTTTTCCAGTCTCTCTGTGCTTTACGGAGTGGATGCTGGGATAAAATGCAGTGAGGGTGGGGCTGTGGACAGACCACCTGCCTGTAGGAACCCCAGGAGGAAGGTGGGAAGAGGTCAGAGAAGTGTGGTGCCCACTTAGCATGCGCGCTTCCATCATACTAGCTCTGCGACCCCAAGATCTTCCCTGGGATCCTGCTGCCTGCTGTCCTGGGCCCGGAAACTAGAAACCCAGGCCACACCCCACCACTTCTCATCCATGTTTACAGAAAGCAAGACCATTATTTACAAGAAGAGAAACATTGAGCTAATTACTTTTAAATACGCCAAAGAGAGCAGCAGACAAAAAGAAAACAGAAACTTCTCAGTGAAGAGGCTACCCTGCCCCAGGCCAGCAGGGCATTTTTGTCTCCAGGCTTATCCCACTCCCCCTCTGCTACCCAGGTCACCCTCTCACCTTGCTCTCTGCCGACAGGCAGACCCCTCCCAATATTAACCAGCCCAGTTTTTCCACAAATGAATCCAAGTCAAGAAAACAGAGCTTTCTTCCCGGACCACTCAAGACCCTGAGCCAAGATATAGCAGTACCCAGAGCTCCCTGGGGCCCAGTTCTTAAAGCCTTTCCAGAGATGTGTTCTGGGCAGTGTGAGTCATGGTACTCCCATCCTTGAGGCCACAGGATGCAAGGATACGTGGGCCCGCACCTCCCAGCAAGCCTCTTCTTGCTCATTTTGAGAAGCAAGCTTCCTCCTTTGACTAGAATTAGAAAGACATGGAGGGAAATTTTACTCCCAGATCTAAATCCTCGAAAGCTAATCTGAGGACCTGATGATCAGTGACAAAATTCTTGTCCTGGTAACAAAGGGCGAAAAATAAAGAAAGACAAAAAGGGATGGGTTTGGGAAGAATTGTTCTTGCTTCTGAGATTAGATGCTTCTTACATTTTTGTTCTAAAATGAACATGTAAAAAAAAAAAAATCAAATGATGGTGAGTGTGGATGACATTTTTTAATGTCCCTACTTGGCAAAATTAGAAAGTTGGCATCTCTAGCTAGCCCTTCCTCAAGAAAAGAAAAAAAATTTTTTTTGGAAATTTTATTGGACTATGAAAGTCCAAAGTCTGGGACATACTGTGATAAATGACACAAAAGAGAATAAAGACCAATCCCAAGGGCCAGAAACACACAAAACAGGGCCTCAATGCCCCCAGTGCAGTCTCCCCCTGATACCCGAGTATGCAGTAGGACACCCCCGATTAGAAGTTTGGCCAGCCCCCACTTGGGGCCCTCCTGTGATAGGGAGCTCATTCCCTCTGCCCACAGCTCTGATGAGCAAGCGCTTCTTCATATCGTCGAGAAACCTGTGTCCTTGGCCCCAGGCCTATGCCTGGGAGAACCTGGAGCCAGGCCTTTCCTCTTCCAAGGAAAATGGGCTCCACACTACACCCTCCCACCCAGACTTGGGCTGGGGTCTGTTTGTTTCCTCACCACCCCGTCATTCCTCTTGTGAAGTGACTTGCCTGAGATCACTTGGCTAGCAAGTGAGCTCAAGCCCAGCTCTTCTCCTGGCCCAGTGGCCTGTCCCCCAGGTTTCTAGATTTGGTGACAGCTCAGTGTCCTCGATTCATGAGCTGATCTGGCTGTTCAGAACCAGTTGGAAAAGCAAAAAAGAAACCAACATAAAAAAACAAGTACAAAGAAGTCATTGTGATCCAAGTAAACGCATATATCTACATAGAAAATGTATGGAAGGAACTACAGTAAACAGTCATGATAGCCATCCCTTGGGGTGAGCAACTAGACAATTTTCATCAAGTTTTTGCATTTCTGTGTTTTCCAGTTTTTCTACAATGATCTGACTTTTACGCATATTATAAAATAAAATATTGACCACTTGGGAGGATGAAATAAGAAATGTAAAAGTACACTAAACTCGTTCCGAGAGCCTACTTCAGTTCCATCTGCGCTCCAAAAAGCAAGCCCTTGGGGGACTGCGGCACCAGAGCCCCGCCCCCGGACCTCAGCCCCGCCCTGAGGGCGTGGCCTACCCGCTGACCCGCCCACAGCTCTTGGTGACTGATCTGTACAGCCGACCACATTCGGCTACTTCCGCCCCAGCTGCTGGCTTCTGTTCGGTGAACCCACAGCCCACACTTAAGCCAGACCACCCGCTCATTGCCAGTGTGACCCGCTCATCTGCCCTCCTCCAATCTTCTCAAGCCTAGCTGCCTCCGCCGCTGCCCCCACCAACCTCCCCTCCCCTGAGATGGCCCAGAGGCTAGATGGAGAGCAAATGGAGGGTGCCGTCCATGGCTCATCCCTGCCTGTCTGTTCTGGAGCACAAGTTGCACATATTTTTTGACAGACAAGACTAATGCTTGGAGGGCAGATGTGTCATACATTAAGTGTGATGCTGCTGGGCTGGGACCCAGACCTCTGACCTAGTCCAGATTAGACCCTAGTCAAAACAGAGCCCTCAGGCCCCATTAGGATGTGCTGGGGCCATAGGTCACCAGATACCCTTCATGCCAGCTCCCCAGGGAAGGGCTTTGCCAGGCACGCCTCCAGAGCACCTTGCAGACGCAGGCACAGGGTCGGCACTGATTAGAAACGGAGGGATTGGCATCAGAGATGATCTGGCTCTGCCATCACCAGGCCCAGTGTTCCCTCTCTTGGCCTCAATTTTCCGATGGATGAAACTAGAATAGGCAGAGTTTGACAGTGAACAGACTGGGTGGTCTCTAAGTTTCTTCCCAGGCTTAATATTCAAACATTCTGGGACTGAGCAGTGACATCATCCCACACCCAGGGAAGGGGGTACAGAAGCTTCCCATTCAGGCTGCCCCTCAGCCCAGGTCCCTGAGTGAATAGTCTAGGTCTGAGAACATCCCAGCCACTGCGTGTATGAGTTAGCACACGTGTGTATGCCCATGTGCATGTGGGGGTGTGGATATGGAGATAAGTACATGGGGGTATGGAGGGGTGGATGTGTGGGCAGGGGTACCAGGAGGACAGGCTCCCCGTTTTGTATCTGGCACAGGTACATTCCCCAATTATTTCATTTTGAGAATTCTGCTCCTTTCCTCTCCAAGACCTTAGCTCTCAGCTCCTTCCATCTCACTACCCCTCCACCCTGTTCTCATCCCTTTGTTTTCTCCATTCCGGCCTCTGTCTCAAGCCCCAGCTCTGTGTTCTTTCTCTGTCTTCACCCCAGAACAAGGTCTGGCACTTTGGAGGGGCTGCGGAGCCTTCAGTGAATGTGTGCCCTCTCCATCCGTGTGATGTCTCCCTCAGGACCCTCCTCCCACTACCCTCTGCCCTGGGTCCCTGCCCCTTTTCCAACCGGTGCCCACAGTTCTCAGAGCCCTTCTTGTTACTGACAGAAATGAAGATAGGCCCTCTCATTGCACAATGACAAATGAACCCATTATTCTGCCCAGATCAGAATGAAAAATTGGGAAGCCTGACAGTGCCATGATTTGTTAACCTGACATTGCCTCTCTATGCACTGCACAAATTTTAATTAAAACCTCAGGAGTGATTGGGGAGCCCTTTTATTGTGCACATCTGTGCTCTTTCAGGTGCCCTGGAGGAAGGGCAGGGCCTTTGCACAACAGACACAAAGGCTCCAGGATGATCCCTAAAAAACTGTCAGTGGGGGTGCTGACCTTTCAGGCGAGCACAGCAAGTTGGAGTGCAAGGAGCCTTAGGGAACACAGGAACACAGGAAAACTCCCAGCCACCCCCACCACTCTACCCATGTCACAAGTGAAGAAACCGAGCCCCCAGGAGTGGTTTGCACAAGGACTCCCCTAGAATGAGGGCAGGGTGTGGGTGGGTGTGGGGGAAAGAGGGAGGGTCATGGGATTTAGCTCAGAAAGAGTGGGGACAGCCAGAAGACATGAGCATTCCACTCACCCCTGTCATCCCTCAGACCCTACTCAGGGAGGACTGGATAAATCGAGGGGCAGAGGGAAAGAGGGGACGAGAGCAGGAATGCAAGTGTCCTTTCCTGTAGTCGTCACACCTGGAGATGGAAGGAGGCAGGTTGGAAGGGCAGTCCCCAGGCTCCAGTCTTGCTCCTGGCTTCTCAAGGAAGAACCTGAGAAAATTCACAGTCCTTCTAGAAAAGCCTTAGTCCACTGAGGCAGCCTGAGGAGAAGGGAAGGGCCTGGGGTGCCACACTGGCTTCCCGAGGCCCCAATGCTCTTGCAGTGGATCCTGACCTTCCCAGTCACCCATTTTTGGGGTACAAAAGATGCAGAGAGAACAGGCCTGCACAGGGGTCCAGGTCAGTCAGTCGTCAGCAGGCCCTGGGGTGGGTCATAAGCTGAGGGTCATTAGGGAATCCCAGGCGGCCCTTGGAAGTTGGATCAGCAGGGCCAGTAAGAGCCTCCACCTGGGCCCACCACCTTCACCTGTGAGACCTGGAGCAAATCACCTCACCTCTGTGCACCTGATAAATGGCAACAATCACCACATCTGTCCATATGATGTGAGAAGTATTTGGAAACTATGCCCTGTGGGGCCTCTGCCTGGAGGCCTATGCTCCCCTAGTGAGGCTGCCACCAGTCAGGGGCCCCATAGGAGTGCCTGCCCCTCCTCACCCCTCCCAGTGCCCTCAACCCCTCAGCAGATCCAGTGACAACCACCCTGCCCCACCATCCTGCACTCACTCTCAGGGCCGGCAGGGAGCTGACCTGGTCCGTGGTCAGCAGCACCTCCTTGTAGTACTTCCCAGGGAGATAGAGCTTCAAGTCATGGATGCTGAGAAGAGAGGCATGAAGTGTTGAGGAATGGAGACCAGCAAAGCCCCACTCCTGCCTGGCTCTCCTTGGAGGAAAAGGACTCAAGATTGGTTGACACAGGAAAGGCAGTTAGCAATCATTGCACCCTTCTAGAAACATCCTGAGGCTTCCAGTGTGCTCAGCACACCGTGCGGGGTTGCAAAGATGAGCCACGTGGGAGGAAAGGTGTGTGAGTGTGTGGACCAGCCTCAGTATTTGTTACAAATGTCAGGGCCGGGAGTGACTCCTGTCCTCATGCAGCCTAGTCCCTTGTCTGCACATGGAGAAACAATGTTTTTTGGGGAAGCCAATGTGCCACCTCAGGCCATCTGCCCAGCTACACCCTCAACCCAGATAAAAAAGGTCACTCAGGGTGTATGGGTGAGTCAGGATTAGAACTCAACTGCCTGTGGCCAGCAAACCACACAGCAAGCTGGTTCCACAGTGCAGGACTGAGCGATTGTCCTCGTCATTCCTGCAGGCCGTGTCTCTGTCTGTGGGCCTCCGTACTGGCTCCAGGGCTTTGCTTGTGAGTGACAGGCCAGAGGGCGAGATGGCTGTGTGGCCACACAGCAGGGCCATGTGACCCCACTTCACCCCTGAAGTGAGGAGTTTCATCATCCAGAAAATAGGCAACAGTGATGCCTCTTGGAGGGCTGTGGTGGGAGTTCAGTGTGCAGGAGACTCAAGGGTGTGTGCATGCACATGTGTGTGCATGTGTGTGTGTGTGTGTGTGTATGTGTGTATATGTGTGTGTGTGTGGTGGGGTGGATCCACAGGCTGGTTAAAAACAGTTTCTGGAGCCAGACAGACCTAAGTTCAAGTCCTGACTCTGCCACTTGCTAGTTCTGAGACCTTGAGCAGGATTCTGATTCTACCCGACCTCAGTCTCCTCATCTTTGTCGTGGAGCAAATAAATATCCCCTCACAAATATCTGAGGACTGAATGGGAGGAGGTGTATCAGCTGTCAGCATGGAGCCTGGCACATACAACTGCTTGCATTGCAATGGCCCTGGGGACACCCCTGCACCCTCTGCCTCGTGTATATGCTTCTCTTCTGCAGCCCAGATGGCCTGTGCCTATGCCCTCCAGAGCTCAGACCTAGACTATGATGGGAGCTCTCTAAGCTGACCTGGGCCTGCCCTCTTGTCTTCCTCTACAGTTCTCTCACTTTTACTCCTCTCGTCTCCCCCATCAAATCTCTAATCTCAGCTGAGTGTCAGGAGGCAAGCAATCTGACCAACTAATTCATACTCAGGAATGAGTGACTAACAGTCCCCTCATTGTCACTCCCCGGGTGGGTGGTTTGTTAATTCAAAGGAACCTCTGACTGGTGGAATTTAGGGACACGTGACTAAGTGAAGCCATGAAAGGTGAGTTTATGAATGGAGGTCTGGGGGTAGAGAAGGAGGCCCTCCCAGGGCCCTGATTACGGTAAAGGGAGGCCCAACACCAGGAGAACTTAGCGTGATCTGCTCCCCATCTGGCCACTCACCCTTTCACAGCTCACTGGCTGGAAACATGTCTTTCAGATCCCAGCCAAGGGAGAGTGGAAAGAAAATCATCCGTTCTGTGCTTGGTATTGTTTTCCAGCTGCAGACAAGCTGATCCCTGCCGACTGCACCCCCTTCCCGCCCCCCGGCCTCTGGTTTCCAGATGGCTGTGGCGCAAGGGAGGCACCCATGGGAGATGGAGGTGGTGAGAGAGAGGCAGGGGGATTTATCCCTCCCTCTCTCTGCTGGCCTCAGCAGGCTCCAGCAGCGTCTCTGTCTGTGTCCCTCCTGTAAAGGGCTGAGTAGCCAGCTTCCACAGCTCCAGCTCCCCCCATCTGGGCACCTCAGGCCTTAAGGGGCAGGGGGTGGGGGGGCAATGGCTAGTCCCTAGATGTTTCCCTCAGCCTCTGTGAATAGTCTCTTTACCCTAAAGTCCCTTCAAAGACCCCAGCTGAGTATGCTGCCTGTCTGCACTGGGATGCTACCAGATCAGTCAGGTAGATCCACCTGGATCCCCGTCTGTCCCTTTCTACTAGCTGTGCGATCTGAGGCAAGTTGTTTGACCACTCTGAGCAGACAGACCTAGGCTCAAGTCCTAACCCTAATGGCTTGTGCTGACCCATGGAAAGGGCCTGACAATGGGGGCTGGAATGTGGCTATTCATGGAAAACAGGCTAATCAGCCTTGTAGGGGCCATGCCCTGTCACCAGAGACTATGCTAACAAGTGGCAGGGAGTCTAAAAGCAGGGTGTGGCACAGGTGAGGGGAAACATTCTCCAGGGAAGTGCAGGGTCTGGAAGGAAAGCCATCCCTGCTGCAGTGACCTACAGCTGAGGTGGGGTGGGAGTGGCCAGCCCAGCTAAAAGGAATGTTTTATCACTGTCACTGTTAGAATTGCTGGAGTAAGGTGAAAATAAAATGCAGACTGACTTTCAGTAAATTTTGTAAAATTTTAGGAATTCTCTGAGGCCATGCCCACCTTGTGGACGGGGCCCAGGGTGGCCACTCCCACTGTCCATCATGGTTCCCCACCGGGAGTGGCCTACTGCAGGCTGCCAACTTTCATGGATATTTTTCAAACAATCAGCATGATAGTCTTGCAAAAAAGGGACCATTATCTCTTATTTACAGACAGAATGAAGTCTCAGAGGCTCAAGGAGGTACAATAACTTGCCTGAGGTCACACAGTAGAAAGTGTTAAATTCAGAGGGCAGACCCCAAAGCTTTTTCTCAGAAACCCCTGAGAAGGGGGTGTCAGGACTGATGAAGGAAAGAGAAGGAACCCCCACTGCGATTGCCACCAGCTCTTCTCATTTATCAGGCTCTTTATCTCGGTGAATCTTCCCAACAATCCTGTGGGAGAGGTGTAGGGGTGGTGATTTTAATAGATGGCTATACTGAGGCTTAGAGAGCTTGAGGGGTGTGCCCAAAGTCATACAGCTTGGAAGATATGAGTAGGGGCTGAACCCTAAACCAGGTTCTTCAAGCTGTGCTGCCTACCCCTAAAGGGCCCAATCCCACCCAGCCCCACCCCCTGGAGAGCCCTCTCAGAGTGGGGTGCTGTGGGAGGGCCCTGCCGGGACTTCATGCCTTCCCAGGCCACCGAGTGGGTGGGCTGCCCGCAGATGAATTGTGGCTGCATCTCAGCTGCCACAAAATGTTCTCCTCCAAATATGGATCAGTGTGCTCTAAATGGAACTCTGAATTAATCACTAATGGACTTAAAAGTCAAAACCATTTGCAAAACTCACACGTTCAGCCTGCCCAGAAATCAAGCTGCCCTTCCACACCTAACCCAGACAAGGGGCGGGGCTGTCTGCAGGCTTGGAGGCCCTGAGGCAGGGAGGCCACCAGCCTCGCTACTCACCCTCTGCAGGACCTTGGACCTTCCACATCCCCCCGTGGGCTTCAGTTCCCCCCCTGTAGAAGGAGAGCCTCAGTGATCCCCTGGCTCCTTCCAGTTCAGGCATCCTAAAGCTGTTTCTGTGCCTCTCCCTGACATCCCATCCGTCCCTTGCCTCTGAGGCCCTCTATTTTAGTGGTTTTCATCTGGGTCCCACATTAGAATCATGCGGGGAGCTTGTGAAAGGACCTGTGCACACCCCTAGAGATTCTCTGCTGCAGGGCAGGCAGACACAGACAGGCTCTGTAAGCTTGGTGTTACCCCTGCACCAGCAGGGCTGAGAACGCGACTTGCAGTACAAGCCTTGAGTTCGGCTCCTGCTGTACCGGCTGGGCTCCCTGGGCCATGACATCAATAGCCCTTTGCCCTGTGGTACAGCCTGCAGGTATTTATAAATGGGCCTTGCCTTTAGTCTGTTTTGGCCCCATGATCTGCTGCTACTAAGCTGTGTGATTTGGGAAAGATCACTTCATTTCTCTGAGCCAGTTTCCTCATTCGAAAAAAAGAGATAGTAATAGCATGATAATATTAGCTTCCACACACTCAGTACTGACCCGTGTGCTAGGCTTTGCTCTAACTCCTGACGTGCATTTGATCATTTAATCATCCTAATTACAACCATGTGAGGTTGGATTCCATTACTCTCATGTCACACCTTCTATAATAGTAGAAACTGAGGCTCAGCAAGGGTAAGAAACTCAGCTGTAGCCACACAGCTAGGAAGTGGCAGAGCTGAGCCTCGAACCCAGGCCGTTAGCTTCCAGGAAGGCAGTGTAACCACTCTGCCTGCTGACCTTCTGGTACTCCCAGAGGCCCAGGAGCTAATGGCCAGAACAGGGTCTGGAGACTGGAAAGTGTTGGGAGGAAAGCGTGGCCTCATTACAGCCATTAGCTTGTAACCTCCTACTACAAAAATAAAAACTTCATCTCTCTATATATATTTCTTCTCTTTCCCCCAACCTCCTGATACAAAATGACTTGCCTCAACTAATTTGTTTATATTACTATTATATATGTATTATTTTCATATTTACATGTATTATGATATATGTGTATTATTCAAACATTGCTCACAGCCGAGCTCCCTAGTGGAACATGATTATATTTTCTTTCTTGTTAGACCTTTTGTTTTCCTCAGAGTTAATAATCACTTTGTTTGTTTGTTTGTTTTCGCTTAGGTTTCAGTGTAACTCATTAGTTCTTCCCCAAACTTTCTGCAGAACTATAACGTTCCTCCCAGTAGCTCTATACATCACGTCATCTATAGGTTCGTTCTGTTTTCCTGGAGGCATCTCGCCTGGAGCCCCAACTCCCTAGTTCTAATCTAGACTCATTGCTTACTAGGTCTGTTACACCATTTGTTGTCTTCATTGGGTTTTCCTTCACTATCATCCTTGTAATTCATTTTTCCTTCCTCTGTGTTAAAATCCTTTGTTTCCTGGATCCTATGTCCTCTTTTTACTTAGTTTGTGTACTAGTGTGAATGGAGCACATTCTCCAAAAGCTTCCTGAGAGAACATGCATCAGAGGTAATTTTTTTAGAATTTGCATGTCAAAAATATTGTTACTTTACCTTCATTCTTGCTAATAGTTTAGCTTTCACTTAATTCTAGATTGGAATTTTTTTTTGGAATTTTGAAGGTGTTTAGCCACTGTCTTCCAACACGAGTCCAAAACTATTCTGATTCCTGATCCTTTGTGTGTATTTTTTTTTCCTCCATAGAAGCTTTTAGGATCTTCTTATTATCTCTGGTGTACTGAAATATTACGGTGACATGATTTAACATAGGCTTTAAAATATTCTTTCCTTAAATATCTAGTGTCCCCTAGTTTTCGATTTATACTTAAGCAGTGAGGTTCTAAAAAGCTGACCAGAAGCTCATCCCTGCTTATCCTTGGGTGGGTGACCCTGAGTCACCTCTCTCAGATGGTAGGCTCCTGCCTTCTGCTAGGCTGGGGGAGGGCTGCCAAGTGGACTGCAGGGCAAGACAAGGACTCACATAAGACTTCCAATCAACCTTTCTGTTGCCACCTGACTCATATCCTGGCACTCAGAGGTCCCTGAACTTTTCTGAGTTCTTGATTCCATCATCCCGACCCGTTTCCAGGCAGTTTGCTTTCAGCTTTCTGCTCGGCTAAGTCTGTGTCATGGGTCTCTCTGCTTCCCATTTTTGAAATTTTTGTTGACCTCTCTCATCTGCTGTCATGTCTTTATGGGTTTCTTTCTTTTTTCTAATTCCTTTTAGTAGAGAAAACAGAGATAAAAGATGTGTTCCAGGTTAACTGGAAGTCCTGTGCACTTTGCTTTCTTCACTTAACAATATACCTTGAAGATGGCACCTCACCGAACCAGAAGCTGCCCCTCCTTCTCCCTCGGAGCAGTATCCCAGTGACGGATGGAGGGACTGCATGTATTTCATCCATGCCCTCTTGACACAAGTGCAGCGGCCAGGTCAAAACACCTTTCCCTTTCTGAAGCAGCCTTAAAGGCCTCCCCTGGTTCTCTCCCATTCTTTAAAGGTCTTGGCAGCTGTTTTACATCCTACGGTGCTCCCCAAGATGTAGTCTTCTGGGTCTGGACACTCATCTTGGTTGCAGCTGCAGAGAGCTCTTTCTGGTCCCACCCCACCCATCTGGGCATTTCTGTCTCGTCTCAGTGCTTGTCCCGCTCTGTCTCACTTGGAGGTTTCCAATATGGAGGAACAAAAGCCACTCCACCCACCTCTCTGCCTTCCTTAGCAATGGCATCCCCAGCCCCTCCTAGTGCTGACCCAATCCTGTTCTTCAGGCTTGGAAGGGTGCGGGCATCATGAACAGGAGCTACCCAGACGTGGGCATTGGTCCCCCACACTCAGGCACGGACTGTCAAAAGCAAACCAGAGAGCTTTGTGAGAAGCTGCTTAGAGAAGTGGGGACTGACTGGGAGCCTTCCCTGGCTCACCTGCTGTGACCTGCCTCCCCAGTATGGCATAGATGAGGCCATTGGCCTCCCCATGGTGAGGCTGCCTTCAATGGGGTGGGGGAGGAAGAGGAGGGAAGGAGGGCCTGGGTGGGCAGTTCAGAAGGGAGGGGTCCCTAAGGAGGGCTTTCTTCCCAGGACATCTTTCTCAGAAGGCCAGTAGAGAACAAATGAGGACTGAGGGGCTGTGTCTAAGGCAGAGAAACCAGACCCCTCCACGCTCCTCTCTCTCGGTTGATCCCACCACACTCTCTCCTCAGCAGCGTCTAGGCATGTGTGTGTGAGGAGCCCTAGGGATGCAGAGAATGCTTGACCATCTTGGAGTGGAAAGAGGAACAAGCATGGTCGTGCTCAATTAGTGAGAAAATAAATTGGTACAACCTCTTTAAAAGGCAATATTGTCATACCAATTGAAAATTTAAACATGTCTACCCTTTGCCCAGCATTTCTATGGCTAGAAACTTCTCCTATGGCTTTACTCTCACCTGTTGGATAAGCTATTTGAACATACATGTTGAATATAGCTTTATTTGTAAAACTAAAAACCGTAAATGACTTAAGTATACTTCATAGGTGGTTGGTAAAATGAATTACCATCTTCCATAAGAAGGAAGGCTCCATAGCCATTAAAAAAGAAGGAGGCAGATAAATCTCTGTGCTTTATGTAAAACCAGCCAAGGTGAAAAGTTAAAAAACAAAAAGGTCTAGAACAGAAAAAATGCTCCACTACAAATGGATAATTGCTACAGTATGATAGGATAAAATTTTTGAAGGATAATATGTAGATCTAGCTATGAAAAATTCTTTTGGAAGCCTAAGTGAGAAACTAATTGAACAGTGGAGAAGCCTGGGAGTTGGACACAAGATACTTATTTTCCATTTAGAACTTTCTATGCTATTTGAATTTTCTAGCCAGGCTCACATAATTTTTAAAATTCTATTTTAGTTTTAATCAAGTATTACTTCTTAGAAAATATCAGTAGGTATTATATTGGTAGTAAGATATGGGTTGTTTGAAGTTTTGCCATATTTTTCTAATTTTAAAAAGTGAGAGAATATTAATTTTGAAAGGAAAATAATGTTGCCCAAGACTGTCCCTGGTCACTGCAGGTCCCCGTATCCTGGCTGTCCTTCAATCCCCATTTGTGCCTTCTCTGCCTGCCCTGTGCCAGCCCCATCTCCAGGGCCCCTTGGGTCTGAACGGGGACCAGCGTAAGACCCTGTCAGGGCAAGACCTCAGCCCAAGGGGAAGGAAAAGGGCCCCTCTACTCACCACAGGATTTCATTCTGGTCAGGAAGGTCAGGGCCTACAATAAACCCAGGGAGGTGACCTGTCTACTCCATCTGACCCTCCCCTGGCCCCCTGGGGTCTGGGAAGGAAAAGCCCATTCTCTCATCCCACAGCTGGGGAAATGGACACATCCCAGCCCTCCGAAGTGGGTGCCCACGGTGGTGCCAGAGGAGAAAATGGTGCCCCTCTCTCCTCACCATCTCTGATGGCCCTGGGATGGAGGGGCCATCACGTTGGCACAGACCTGGAGGGAGGATTGGAGACAAGACTAGAACTGTGGCTCTGGAGCCAGAGACAAATGAGGAGGAAGCCTCAGAGGCCTAGCCAGGGTCACATGGATGCCGGCTTGACAAAGGCAAAGGCCACCACTACCCATCCTGGGAAACCCCCCAACTTCAGGCAAGAGTATTCCCACTTGTCCCACCTGCCTCGGGACACCCCCACCTCTGCCCAGTATCCCATGCCTGATCCACCCACCTGGTATTCCTCCAGGTCCTCCCAGTGCATCTGGTACCTCAAACATTGCCCCATGCCAACATCCCCTTCTCTCTGCTGGCAGTAGAACCTCAGCCCCAAGGGGCTCACCAGGGGGTGTAACCAGGCAATCCAGTTGCCATGGTGACCTAATTCCACCTGCTGCCCATTCTACCTGAGCACCCTAGCAGGCCAAGAAACAGATTCGTTTGCTGCCTAAGGCTAGTAGACATCCCCACACCCCCTGCCCCCAACAACAAGCAAAAAGGCAGCCCGATAGCCCGTTGAGAATCACACTGTTGGCTCAGGAATCACACTGCCTGCGTTTGAATCCCAGACCTGCCACATGCTGACAAGACATGTGACCTTGAGCAGATTACTCAACCCTTGTCTTTGTTCCTTCATCTGTAGAGTGGGGGTGATAATGATGGCACTGCTGTGGGAACTATTTGAGTTAATACAGGTGATACACCTGGCACATAATAGGTGCTCAATAAATGTTAACCATGAGAATCACCTCCCAAATGCTGTGCCAGGCTGGAGATGTGATGAATTAGCACAGACCCTAGCCTCCAGAAGCAGCCTAAAGATCCCAGGAGAGGGCATTGCACCCCATAGATCAGGGCTCCTGCAGTAATGAGGGCACACTCAAACTAGGGTAGTTTGAAGAGTGTCTAGTAAGGGACTCCTCAAAGGCAAGGCCAGGGTGCAGGGGAAGCACCCAGGCAAGAATGGAGGCCCGGTCCAGTCATCAGAGCTGCTACTAGTCCCAGCCCCCCACCCCGACGCCACACGTAGAATAAATACCCCAGTGTCAGCCTTTGCTCTCTCTCTCATCTCCTGTGGGGACAGAAAGCCTGATGGAGAGTGAATCTGGAAAGATGGAGAAGTCCAGCACAGCCACCCTGTGACAGGCCAGGAGGTCCCCTCTCCTGCCTCCAGGATGGTCCGCACATCTGTGCTGTGCCTGTTTCCTGGTTCTAGCCCGCGTCCTTCCACACACGTTCCTAGGTAAACATCCCAGGGGTTTTCTCATGGAGCTAATTCATATCTCCAGGAATGCAACAGTTTATTTTCCTTTATCTGTCCTCCAGAGATGGAGCCTGACAGAAGAAACCCAGGAGCCCTTGGTCCTTGATTTCCTTGAAGACAGAGGTGAAGTATCTGCACTGTGCCAGGAACTTGGCTGGACCCTGGAGGGAGATGAGTAAATATGGTCTCAGTCCTCAAGAAATGGACACCTGCCACACTCACACACACACACACACACACACACAAGGGAGATTGAGCAGATGTCATCAGAGAAGGAATAGTGCAGGGTTACGAGCATCTAGAAGAGGCAAGACTGCCAGGAAAGGAGTCTTTACCTAGGTGGTGCATTTAAGTGGCTGTTTTAATATCATGGTTAAGAATATGGGTTGACTGCATCACCTTCGGCAAGTCATGAAACTACTCTAAGCCTCAGTTCCTTCATCTGTAAAATGGTCATAATAAATCTCTACTTTATAGGACTGCTGTGAGGCTAAAATTAAATGATAGATTTTAAAAAAGCTCTTATTGAGCAAGGAACCTGGCACATAAAGGGTAAATAATATTATTATTTTTAAAAGTTGGGTTCAAAAAAAAAAGGGTAGGATTTCAGCAGGCAGAGTCAGTAATTAAATCCCATCCTCTGGGAGGCCCTTTGAACGTCTGCTCTCATTTGTGGAGCAGCTTCTCTCTGCCAGGTGTGTCCATATAAGCTGTCCCCCGTGATGCTCACAGCAGCTCTGTGAGGTCGGCAGGATGTTGCTCCTTTCCTCTGGGGAGGGTGGAAGCTGGTGAGGCACACCTGTGCCTTGGGGTCACTGGATGGCAAGTGGGCGAGGGAGGGCATGATGCCCAGGAGTGGATGCAGGCCTGGGGATTCCCGCAGCTCAGGGTGGGGCCATGTGAACTGGGGAATCACACCCCAGAAGGCTGCTTCCTTCTCGAGTCTTGCTCAGTTTTCCTGTTAAATGGAGGTGCAAGTGGCAGCATGGCACTGGCTGGTGTGTCCTTTAACACCTGGGTGACACTCGCTAAGAGGAGAAAAACAAATTAGGGAACAGCCCTGCAGCTCAAAGCTTATAGCTACTTATTCAACAGCTATTTATTGAGCTGGGCAGTGGGGATAGAATGAGTAAGTCAGACAAGGCCCTGCCCTCGCCAAGCCAGACACGCAGAGGAAAAACAATATCCCTCAGACTGAGATAGTGCCGTGAAAGGAATAAAGCCAGCGTGGAGGGGGGCGGCGCTGGGAAGGCTTCCTGAGGAGGCACCACCTGAGCAGAGACCCGAGTGACAAGGAGAGGCGAGCCAGGCTGAGCAGTCGGCAGCAGCTCTTCGGGCCCGGAAGGCAGGAACGTCAAGTTAGAATTTAATAACACTGTTCAGTTGTTTATATGGTGCATTCCATTTTGAAAATGATGCAAATTTGCCATTTGTTAACTGTGATATAAAGTTTCCATTATAAATATATGTTTAATTAAAAGAAATAGGAGCCCGTTTAAAGAAAAATACTAAGTAAATAATGATATAGGAGGTAAAGGAATATGCCAGAAATCACAAAGCTCTTTCTCTCTTCTCTCTTCTCTCTCTCTCTCTCTCTCACACACACACACACACACACACAAGTAACCAGGGTTTGTAAACTGTGCTAGCCTCCTCCCCCTTTCAGTTTTCACCACCTCACCTCCTCTGTCCCTGCCCGCCCCCAATCACTCTGTGATTTCTTCCTAGACAGGGTTTTCATTGGTTCCTACAAATAACAGTAGTAACAGTAAGAATATCACCTTAAATTTGCATATGCCTCTGTAATGCCAAAATGCTTTTTTATGACCTGTCTCATTTGCCCAAGAAATAAAAGCCTAAGTTCCCTTCAAGAAAGAAAGAGAAAAACCAGCCATAGGATTCTGCCTTCAATACATTAACCAACCAGCCTACCTACTCCCCTCCAACCTGTTAAACCTCTCAAAACCCCTCTGCAGAAAGGTGTTTGAAAGAGGTGTAACTGAACAGAGAGCAGGCCCCAGCCTGCCCCACTGTTCTGCATCTTTCCCTCCAGGGTCTGCCCTGGCAGGAACCTTCTGCCTGGATGGAATGCACTCTTTGCAAGGTTTCTGTCACCTTCCAGTGAACTCTACAGACAGCTAAAGCTGCAACCCCTGCCCAGACCTTGATTTAGATGTCTCTTAACATTTAAAAGGGGCTGAAAAGGAACTCACATACAGGATATATAAAGAACTCTTACAAAAGACAAATAACCCAATGGAAAAATGGGCAAAGGATTTGAACAGACATGTCTCCAAGGAAGATATTTGAATGGCCCTGGATATGACAATATGCTGATCAGGGAGAGGCAAATCAAAACCTCAGTGCAACACCACTGTACACCCACCAGGATGGCTAAAATAAAAAACGCAAAGAGTAAGTGTTGGTGAGAATGTAGAGAAATTGGAGCCCTCATCCACTGCTGATGGGAGTGGTAACTGATGCAGCCACTTTGGAAATGAGTTTGATCCTTCCTCAGAATTGTGAAGCAGAGTTACTGGATGACCCAGCAATTCCCCTCCTGGGTGTGGCATACACCCAAAAGAAATAAGAACATTTGTCCACGTAAAAACTCACACACAAATGTTCATAGCAGCACTCTTCATAACAGCCAAAAAGGGAGACGGCTCAAATGTGTGTCAATTGATGAATGTATAGATAAAATGTGGCATATCCTTACAATGGAACACCATTCGGCAATGAAAATCAGTGTAGCATTGATACATGGTACAACATGGATGAAGTTTGGAAACATTATACTAAACGAAGGAAGCTAGTTTAAAAGGCCACATATTATATGATTCTGTTTATACAAAATGTCCAGAATAGACAAATCCATAGGCAGAAAGTAGATTGGTGGTTGTCCAGAGCTGGGGGAGAGGATACTGGGGGCTTACTGCTTATGGATATGGGGTTTCTTTCTAGACTGATGAAAATATTCTAAAATTAGGTGGTGGTGATGATTACACAACTCTGTGAATATACTAAAAAATATTGGTTGTACACTTTAAGAGTGAATTGTGTGGCATGTTAATTATGTCTTAATTAAAATTTTATTAAAAACAATTTCAAGGACTATTTATGTTTTAACTTGTGCCTGGCACATTTTAGGCTCACCACAAATATTTTTAAAGGAATGTGTAAATAAGATATTATATTTTGAAATAATTTCAGATTTATTTCCTCAGCCTGTGAGTCCTGTAGCCCAGAGGGTTCCACCCGCTGCTGTTATTCAGTGCTCAGGGCAAGGGTAGATCTTGCTGGAGCAAGTCACTGTCCAGCTTTGAATATCAACTAGGTTTTTGTTTGAGTTCCCAGCAACTGAGCAGACTGGAATCCACCTTTGTCCAGAGAAAGGATTTTCTAAATTCCTTTGGTGTGGCAAGAGTCAGGCCTAGGGGTGCAGATCCTGGTCTCTGTAGGGGCATCCTGGTCGTGCAAGAAGAAAAATGATGAAAGCTTTGCCCTTCTGGCCTTGGAGACAGAGGGGAAGAAGAAGATAGTGAAGCCAGACTATCAGGAGCTCATTATCCAAGGATAAGGGGACACGGGTGGTTAGAAATATCCCCAGGGAACTGAGAATCTCCGTGCTTGAGTCGTGCTTCCCTGAACTCAGTGGTGGGGATTGGGGGGCCACAGACCTCTAGAAGTCTGCTGAATACCCCCACCACTTCCAGCATGGTGCAGAGTGAGGGTGCCCAGTGGTAGGGGGGCATGACTGAGGCAGGGCTCCTGGCTTCCCTGGTCATGCAGGGGACCCAGAAACTCCCACATGCCCCAGGGAGAAGATCAGAGGGGCTGAAAGCTCATGCAAAGGCCTGGCCAGGATGAAGAGTCCACTAAGGCACTTTTCCAATGACAAGTGGGACGCCACAGACTCCTGTGGAGCATGCTGGCACATTACCCAGAAGGCCAGGTGTGACCGTCATGCCTCGTTGGACACCAGCAAAAATGCACATAACAAGAAGAGCTACAAGGATACTCCC